TGACTCCACTCCTTTTATATTGATGCTACCACATTTGTAAGCAATTTCAAAATTTCCCCCCCATAATGCCTTAAACCGGCAGTGGACACTCCGTCTAAACGAAGCTTGAATGCCGTGAACGTAGCCTCAACAGCGCCTGCAAACTGCATTCAGGGCGCCGTGAACGTAGCCTGCCAACTACTTTCACGGCGCCGTGAACGTAGCCTGCCAACTACTTTCACGGCGCCGTGAACGTAGCCTGCCAACTACTTTCACGGCGCCGTGAACGTAGCCACTGTGTTTAAAGTGAGCAATACAGAGAGAGAGAGAGAGAGGGAGGGGGAGAGAGAGAGAGAGAGAGAGAGAGAGAGAGAGAGAGAGAGAGAGAGAGAGAGAGAGAGAGAGAGAGAGAGAGAGAGAGGGTGACTGCTCGATTGAAATTAAATGGCATTGTTCTTTTCTTCAAATTGTGATTCCTCCAACCCCAAAACGGAGGAAAAACGATCGTTCACCGAAAAGACATCCGCAATCTTCATTTAGATCAATAAATTGGCAAAAAGATATTAATTCGAATACAGGAAAAAGAGGCTAAAACAGCACCTGGACATGGATGGCTGGTGCCTCTATAAATAAATCATTGATGGTCTGATTAGATCTAGAATCTAGATCTAGACTAACCTCGAAACTTGATCAATGATTTTTGTCTGTCTGTCTAGATCTAGACCAAGGCCATCGATCTAGAAGAAGAACCTAGATTCTAGGTCTACCCTGAACCACAGAATTCTGCACTAACTTGTGTTGAATTCTGTGCCCTGAGCCGAGAGGGCGCTGAAACTTTCCGAAATCACAAAAGAGTTCCCATACCGGGTCTGTATACTTTGTGACTTTGTTCCCGGTTACCGGGTCTGTATACACTCCCTTTCGGAATACTTTCTATCGATGTGGATGATCAAATGAATAAAGGCAAAGAAAAGATTACGTTATAGCACAAAAGTAAGCTAATTTTATCGACTACAAAGATGCTATGGCTATTTCACTTTTCGAATCGAGCCGAACTACGGGGGTCGCCATTTTGTTTTGCCCGGAAGTTCTCGCAAGATCTACTCCTCCCCTATTCTCTCTCTCTATCTCTTTCTGAATACTGTCTATTGGTGTGGACCATCAAATTGACCAAAACAAAGTTAAAAAATGATGTTATAACACAAAAGTAAATTAATTTGGTCGTCTAGATTTCTAGATCTAGATCTAGATCTACAAAGATGCCACGGCTATTTAACTTTTCGAATCGAGCCGAACTACGCGGGTCGCCATTTTGTTTTGCCCGCAAGTTCTCGCGCTACTCCTCTCTCTCTTTCTCTCCACTGCCCACAGACAAAATTGTACGCTTTTAGTAGGCTAACAGTAGTAATGGAACGTTTGTTCATGGCACAGAATTCTACAATTTTTCTGTTATCACAGTGTAGAATTCTGTGGTTTAGGGTGAACGCAAAATTTGTTGGCCTAGATCTAGGCTACAATGGTGAACGCGCACCGGGTGGGTGAGAATAGAGGTGGCCATCCAACACATGCGATTAAAAGTAGTAATGATGCAAACTATTTTTAGGTAAGGCGCCCATCTTGTTTGACGTCAGACCAGGATACCCCTCCGATCCGATCACGTGACTACATCTAAGTATAGACAACCGCATGGCACCAAAGATGGAAGTGTCTATGTATATTATGCTTATTAATCTACACCATTTTCTCAGAAGTTCTGATAGCTGATTTGATAGCGCGTCTGCGTTTGATGTCGAGCAATGACTTTTGGAGCGGTTCGATTCCGGTCCCGGACAGTTTTTTTTTCTCTTTTCCTCCTCCCGACTGACCAACAGTTCCATAAATTATAGGCCTAATTTGTAGAGTTGCTTTGTTGTTTATTTTAAAAAATGTATTAGTGGTTAAAAATGCAGGAGGGGGGAGGGAGGTTGGTAGATCTAAATTTAGATAGGAAGTGGCTATTCTCATCCGGGGTGAGAATAGAAAAACGATCTACCACTCACCCCGGGTGAGAATTGCCAGCGTAGGCTATTCTCACCCGGTGCGAAACAAGACCTGCTTTTCCTCATTTTGGAATACTGTCTATCGGTGTGGATGATCCAATTGATAAAAGCCAAGAAAAAATTACGTTATAGCACAAAAGTAAGCTAATTTGATCGTCTTCAAAGATGCTATGGCTATTTCACTGTTCGAATCGAGCCGAACTATGCGGGTCGCCATTTTGTTTTGCCCGGAAATTCTCGCAAGATTTACTCCTCCCCTATCTCTCTCTCTCTGTCTCTTTCTGAATACTGTCTATCGGTGTGGACGATCAAATTGACCAAAACAAAGTTAAAAAATGATGTTAAAACACAAAAGTAAACGAATTATTCGAAGTGACTATTTCTCCGAATGTTCGGAGAAATAGTGCCGATCTTTATTTCTCCGAACGGTTTCCGGCTTCCGGTCTCGTGATTTTTTGTCTATTTATATTGCGAGAGTGCGGCGCCAACTTTCATTCTGCCTCTGGCCTCTGGTCTGGGAAGGAACACCGCATGGCAAGCCCGCCTAGACAACCTTCAGTAACACCCACCACCATCATGCACATGTACACACACTAACTAAACATGACCGGTGGGCAACTTTTGAACGTATGACGAGCTGAGCTGTGGACGGAGAGACAGTGTGAGTGAAAGAGCGGGTGAAAGGAAGAATGTGCGAGTGTATCCACAGGCGACAGCAACTACAAGACAAGACGACGACACCGACCCCCTGGCCTGGTCCACAGCTCACGAAAGAAAGGAATGCAGCTCAGGCAGTGTTTTGCCTATATTATTGTCCATGGTTCGCAGGGTGCAAAGGAAAGAATGATATTTTCTTTGTGTGTGCCTGGAGGGAGGGGGTGGGGTATGAAGAAAGTCATGCGGACAGGGATGAGCCGCGGGAGAGAACACTTGAATTGAATGAATGAGGGAAACTGAAAGAGACGAACGACTCATGAGCCCTGGAGTGAATGGATCCTGTGTTTCTATTTTTGTATACTTTGAACTGTTACTGAATACAGGCTGAAATAAAGCCCGAAAAACACACACACACACACACACACACTCCTCACTCTCCACTTACTACCACACACAGACACACTCACACACGCACATACATACACACACACACACACAGGAGCAAATTTTTGGGTCTATATCTATTTCAATTTTCAAGAGCTAGTCTGGAGATTTTTAGATGAGTGTAAAAACGTGAAAAAGAAAGGTTTCACAACAGAAAGAAATCAAAATTAGAACAGCCCATAAAACAACAACAAACATTAACAAATAAGGGCGTGTGTCCACCTGTCCGAAGAAGATGGGCTGTTTTAACCCTAAATGTGCGTAATAAAAAAAAAAAAAAGGACAGGATATTTATCGGATATTACATGTAAATTATGGAATCACACACATTAAGGGGCTTTGCCAGTGTCAGTACATTGGTCGCAGCAGTGACAAAATCAGATGTCAGTTCTATGTGTCGTTATCAATAACCCTCCGTAGATCTAGATCTAGACAGCACACGAGTGAACACAACACATTACGTTTAAGAGCAGCACCCTTCATAGGCAACACGCCATATCTGTAGCGAAAAACTGTTTGGAATTGTAGCATTTCTTTATATAAATATTTACTGCGGACATTTTTTGGACCGCTTGAACCATATTGTATACGAACAATCTTTGGTAGGCTTATACTATAATTATAGATCTATATAATATCCGAAATTTGCGAGAAAGGATGTGATTTCAGAGTGTTCGGAGAAATAGTGCCCAGCTTTATTTTCCCGAACGTTCGGAGAAATAGTGCCTAGCTTTATTTTCCCGAACGTTCGGAGAAATAGTGCCCAGCTATATTTTCCCGAACGTTCGGAGAAATAGTGCCGGCCAAAAGTAAATTAATTTGGTTGTCTACAAAGATGCTACAGCTATTTAACTTTTCGAATCGAGCCGAACTACGAGGGTCGCCATTTTGTTTTGACCGGAAGTTCTCGTGCTACTCCTCTCTCTCTGTCTTTCTCTCTCTCCACTGCCCACAGACAAAATTGTACGCTTTTACTTTTAGTAGGCTAGGCTACAGTTGTAATGGAACGTTTGTTCACGGCACAGAATTCTACAATGTTTCTGTTATCGCAGTGTAGAATTCTGTGGTTTAGGGTGAACGCAAAATTTGTTGGCCTAGATCTAGGCTATAACGGTGAACGCGCACCGGGTGAGAATAGCCAAAAAGACTCGCCTGCTCTATTCTCATCCCGGGTGAGAATAGAGGTGGCCATTTAGATATCTAGATATTATCTAGTCCTCCTGCGTCTTTACAGCAATTTTCGTGCTGTCTTCCATCATGTCCAGGTAGGCCTAATAGATCTAGAATCTAGAAAATCCGAAATGTTACACCTAAAACACGTCGTTCCATGTGGGTATCCCAGGAAGTGATGACATCACATTACTAAAATTAGCAGCCAATCAGAAAGATGCGTCATTTCTAAGTTTAACGGCATGTCCATCCAACAAGCACAAGCCCAGGCCCAAGCCATCGGGGCTCTGTCACACGCTCGCTGGGGGCGTGGCCTATTTTACGCGTGCTACGTTTTTTTTACAGAGGGAAAGAGGGAGCTGCAGCATCTTATCGTAGGGTGAAGTATCTTTGGTTACACTGTGTATGACAATGAGTGAGGCAAGATAGATCTAGATTCTAGATCTAGGTCTAGAATCTAGATTTAGATCTAAATCTAGATTCTAGTCTAGTCTAGATTCTAGATTTCTAGATAGACTTGACTTAGGACTTAGAGTCTAGATCTAGATCTAGTCTAGAGTCTAGATCTAGAAATCTAGACTCTAGAATCTAGTACAAATCTAGATCTGTTATCAAAGTCAGGAGTTCCTTTTCTGAGACCAAGGAACCCAATAGCCAGGACTAAACTGAAGAATTGGAGTGAAACTATCGGATGAGATCTTGTCAAGTTACCTTTATAATTCTCCGAGGTAGACCAGCCATTCGTTCTGTCTTTACGCTCACAAATAAGAGATTTTTCCTGTTGTTTCACACAGGAAATTCCAAAATGGATGTTCAGATTATTGCCAGATTTTTAACGAGGATTCAAGCTATTTCAGAAAGAGACGAAATCCAACCTGGTCAAAAAGTAGAATTCTGCAATATTTATACATTCCAGCACACAATAATACATTTGCTGTTTTAACATTGTCAAAAATTTTTAATCCATTTTATTCGTATGGGCAATATTAGTAATAAGAGAATAGGTCTAGTAAAAGAAGTCCAACCAGTAGCCAACACTGAACAAAACTGACGCTCAATCTGGGCAGACAATTTATCGTCATTCTGACAAAGCTACATAAAACTAGCTTTTCGTAGGTTTTTGAATTTCGTGTTTTATAACATGTTTGGGGATTTCTTTGCTAATTGTAACAACATTATGTCATCAAAGTTCATTTGTGGCTACCAACTTGCCGAGACAAACAATTATTTTGATGAACTAAGTTAAGATCGAAATTCAACACATAGAGCTAGAACTTAGTACCTTCATTGACAATTTCAAATGAGCAGGAAAATGCTACCACTAGATTTTAGATCTATGCCTGTGGTTTTTCAAAAACTGGCTTTGGGCATTATCATAAAACATTCTCTACAAGAGTAGATTGTTATCGTAATCAAGATAAAAAATTATACAAATATAGCCTAGGTTTAAAAAAAGGAATTTGTAGATAGACCACTTCAATTTAATAAAGTAAACGAAGTGACTATTTCTCCGAACGTTCGGAGAAATAGTGCCGATCTTTATTTCTCCGAACGGTTTCCGACTTCCAGTCTCGTGATTTTTTGCCTATTTGCGAGAGTTCGGCGCCAACTTGAGGCAACTTGACAACTTCCATTCTGCCATTTTGCGAGGTCTGGGAAGGAGCAAATTTTTGGTTCTTGATCTAGATTCTATTTCAATTTTCAAGAGCTAGATCTAGTCTAGAAATTTTTCGATGAGTGTAAAAACATGAAAAAGAAAGGTTTCACAACAGAATGAAATCAAAATTGGAACAGCCCACAAACAACCAAAAAAAAAAACAACAACAAACAAACAAGGGCGTGTGTCCACCTGTCCGGAGAAGATTGGCTGTTTTAACCCTAATTGTGCGTAATTTTTAAAAAAGTACGGAATATTACATGTAAATTATGGAATCACACACAAGGGGCCTGCCAGTTTCAGTACATATAATCAGTTTTGGTGGAACACTCAACATAACACATTTAAATCTAAATATACACATGTATGTATTATATATATTTAGAATCTAATGAAGGTTTTACACTACACAACATTCCTCCCCCCCCCCCTTTTCCCCAACAAAAAATTAATAGAAAAATAACAACAATAATAAGAAAAAACAAATTACACACCAACAAAATAAAATACCACAAAGAGGAAAAATAAAAGAGGAACAGCAATACAAATCGTATGTAACTGTAACGTATTCAACAAATCAACGTGGTGACAACAAATGAGAAAGAGACGTAGTGAAGCTAAGTGAACTTTCTTTCAAAAGTAAAGAGTTTCGGTTTCTTGTTTTTTTGTGGGGGGGGGGGGGGGGGGGGGGGGGGGGTTTGTTGTTTTTTTTATCCCCCGATTCGGGGACCAAAAAATGCCCAAAAAATGGAGCCGCTATTGATTGGTCGGGGCCGCGACCGCGACAAACGCAGAGATGCTAGTTCTAGGTGTCGTTTTCAATAGATCTAGATCTAGACAGCACACGAGTGAACACAACACATTAAGTTTAAGAGCAGCACCCTTCATAGGCAACACGTCACATCTGTAGCAAAAAACTGTGTGGAACTGTAGCATTTCTTTATATAAATATTTACTGCCGACATTTTTTGGACCGATAGAATCATATTGTATACGAACAATCTTTGGTAGGCCTATAATACATACAATTATAGCTCTATATCCGAAATTTGCGAGAAAGGATGTGATTTCAGAGTGTTCGGAGAAATAATAATAATAATAATAATATATAACATTTATAGAGCGCATTTCCAAAAAAAGTAGCTCAATGCGCTTTACATTGGAATACCCATTTTTCAAAAACCTTTCTTACTACTTCCTTTCTTCTCACGCAATATACATTAATGCACACACACACACACACATACACACACACACACACACACACACACACACACACACACACACACACACACAGACTATTTTCATCCAGACATAGGAAAAGAACAAATATAATGAAAGCTAACGTTAAAAGCTTATGAAGGATAGGCCTGTAGGAACAGAAAATGTTCTACTAGAATTCTGTGGTGTAAACAAACGTTCCGGCACTCTTCAGTTGAAAGTGTGCAATTTTGTCTGCGGGCAGAGCAAGGAACTTAGAACATGTGAACTAATGGAGCCTCCTCTCTCTCTCTTCGCGGCGCCACCAGCAGCACGCCGAGGTGGGGAGCAAATATGGCCGCCGACTGTGGTCTAAATCACGAACTGCGGTGTTTCTTGTTACAAAATCTTATCGAGCTGGGCCACGTTGTGGGGGTGGGCGGGATGGGGGAATGCACGCAAGGAAGAGGGGATGGGGCTGGGCTGAAAGAGGAGGGGCGGGCCTTGGGAAGGAACGAATGAGAATGGGGAAAATTAAATAAAAGAGAGAGAGAGAGAGAGAGAGAGAGAGAGAGAGAGAGATTGTGATCAACTGACGGGATGACGGATATAGAATGACTGGGAGAGAAAAAATTAAATTCTGTGAGTGATACGGACTGTTCTAGGCAACTGAGAAAGCATAGGGACTGTTCAATTATTTAAGAGTTTTATGTTATATAGAGCTAGTTTACAAATTAAGAAGATCGGCAAAATAAGAAGAAAACTTATCCAAGTATCATAAAATTATCAAACATACCAAATTATAAAGATAATCGTTTAAGACGCTAAAAGATCTAATTATAATAAGCAAAGGGGAAAAATGTATTTCTAAACTGAAATTAAGATATGACTGCATGATTCTAGGCGTGTGCCATAACTAGCTTTATGTGTAAGGAACAGCGAACACAAAAGAGGATCGATGCCAGCTTTATCTGATTGCTAACAGTATTATGTCTTGGTCTATAAATAGTAATAGGCCTATTATTGATTACACTAATTTTGTTTCCTGTTTTTCACAAAGTGGATCGCACAATAATTTCAAATATAAAAAAGAGAGATAACAGCACCTTTAGACTTTTCGAATGAGATCAAAACTTACTATTATTGAAGCAGGAATAGTACAGTCTTTGCTAGCTTGTGTCGTTGCGTTTCTCTGTCCTTATTAATGAAGCGATCACTCAGCAGCCGTTCATGGTGATGGGCAATCATGTTGACATACATTATTATTCTACATGTCTCCCTGATAATTTGATGGACATGGGTCGGGTATGAGGCGGCCTTGTTGGCTCTACCTAACGAATCATGCCTTGGCTGTAAGCTCAGGCGTAGGCTCTCATTGCGAGTTCGATGTTCGGCAACATCAAAGGCGTCGATGAGGAGTTCACACCTGAGCGTGATCCCTTTGTCGTAAAATCCTTGCGTCTTGAGCAATAACTTGTACCTCGCATCGAGATTTACAGCGGAGATCCGATCCCATGCATGAGCATGAATGACCCTTGAAGCTGTTTTTTTGTTCAGTAAAGTACGATAAGGAAAGCAGCGTTTTTAGTCCCTTCACACTTCAGAAGGGGATAATTTATCTTAGGGATGACTAGAGTAGTAAACATTTTTGTTGCTTTGTTTGGTTTATTTTTTAATAGCGGAATCTTAAGTGAACCGGAATTATAAATTGTGGGATCTTAGGCGAAGACTACAACAATAAATTTAGATCCAAACCGAGTATATTTCTTCTCAAACAAGACTAAAACTCTTATCCACCCACCCTACCGACCCCCTCCCCTCATCTGATATGGTTTGGTATTTCTTTAACATAGAAGATGTTGGCCATTATTGTTTTTGGGTATTGATTTCATATTTTAATGGAGTCTCTCGGTATCTTCATTTAGACAACAGTAGTCTTTTGTAGTATTTAGGAGATGAATGGGCTTAAAAACATAAAACAAATCTGACTCACTGATTGAACTCAATACGCTAAGGTGTGTTATATGATTATTAAATACATTAAAACAAAGTTGTACACACACACACACA